GCGCGGGGTGTGCGCGGGGTGTGAGCGGGGGTGAGCGGGGAGTGCAACCTCCAAATAAATCGGGATGCGCCGGATATTGCCGTCAAAATGAAAGTAGGTCAATATAAAGCCTGCAACACAACGAGATAGTGGCTATGAATACTGGTATACGATTGTCCAAAAGTAATGCAGAGAAACCGATAAAATCAAATGAATATGCTAAACATCGAAATTGGTTCAGCCGTTTAATTTATGAACGTGACATTGGAAATTCTGTGACAAAGAAAACATATAACGTTGTCCTTAAAGAAAACCTAGAAATAAAATAACATCTGCAAACTACATTAGATAAAGTATTATTTTCTATAAGATTTATTTGATCAAGATTAATACGCGGCATTTGTTATAGCTAAGTCGGATGTCCGGGTGCGAGTGGCGAAAACGGATGGGTGTGCGGACTTCCGAGCGATCCGCCTCGCTTGCAGCCGAAGCGAACATTAAATCAAGATAATCACTTTTATATGGGATTTTCCTTTATAAGTAAAGTTGTATGTTATTTAAAATAATGAAAATAGATTTGATTAATAGTTAAAATATCTCGCCATAACTTTAGTCTTTTAGTCTTTGGTCATAATTTTATATAGTCTTTATGCAAGAACTAAATAAAAATAATCTTCCAAATAATTTACTTTTTTTGCGTTTATATTTCACCGCCATCTGTCTTGTACTAGCAAAAACGAATGTGATTTAACTTTGCCATAGTCTTGTTACTAGATGCATCAATAAAAGATGGCGCCAACAAATATTAAAAACTAAACATAAAATGCTTCTGTTTCAATCATAAACTTTGTTTTCGTTAACTTTCCAAATAGTCTTTTATTTAAAAAGATGCTCGATAACTATTTTATAAAAACTGTATTGTATGTAAACTACTCAGCAATAGATAGCGATTAAAAGAATTAGTTTAACTACTCACCGATCGATGGCGCTTAAAGTAGTTTAAACTTTCAAAAATAGATGGCGCTCACCTGAATGGTTTTAACTACTCATCAATAGATGGCGCTCAGAGACCTGTCTTTAGCTACTTGCCAATAGATGGCGCTTAAATTTTTGTTTTAACTACTTATCAATAGATGGCACTTAAGTGTTTTTAAACTATTCATTAATAGATGGCGCTCAAAGGTTACTTTATTTTGAAGTTAGTAGCGCTTACTTGTGTGATATTATAAAATAATTGTGTCTACTCAAGTATACAATTCATCGAAACCATAAAACTAACAAATATAGGGTAAAAAGGGCGTCATCACGGCAGTATTAGAGCTCCGATACAATAGTTTTAATAAATAGAAAATTATTTAAAATAGAGCATTAAATACCTTTATGCTTTTAAATAAAATGATGATGGTTTTATCAAAATACTTAAATCAAAATGTATAGTCCCAACTAGTCATTAATAGATGGCGCTTGATCTTTCGTTATTTTTTTTGAACTACGTTAAAGCTTAAACTACTCATCAATAGATGTCACTCTGTGGTTATCGAACCCATTGAATAGTTTAAAATATTCATAAATAGATGACTGTCAATCTTTTTTTAACCAAGCAAGATAATAATTTTAAAAACAACACCTTTATTTATAAACACATACTCACCAGGTGTCTGTTGGAACCTCCTCCTCATGTAGTCTACCAGCTTCTCCGCGAACCCTCGTCGCCGTACTGCAACTTTCGCTGCATTCTGCGACAAGGAAAAAAAGAATGAAACTATATAAAACTACTTTTACTTAGTTACAATTTTCAATAATATGCGAAAACTTATTTCCCAAACATCACAACATTCCGCGCTTTCCGTTACGAATTGTGTACATTATACACTCTTCCATACATCTCAGCTGAATATCTAAATAACTAACATATTTGAATTCTTCTATTTCTAACAAACAAATATTCATTTGAGGCATACAATCTTCATAGTAATAGACTGTAACAAAAAAGAATTTAACCAGGGGCGGAGTTATGCCGTAACATATAAAAAAATACAGGCGAATTGAGTACCTCCTTTTTTTTGGAAGTCAAAAACAAAAGTTTTACCTTTAGTGAGGTAACAGCTAAAAAAAAACAAAAGCAATATTCGATATTCTATAGTCTATGAATGCCACAGTTTATCAAAACTAAACCTGCATGAATACTGCACGTACATAAAGAACTGTAGAGAAGATTAAAGGTATATGAATTTTGGAGTCTGTCCAATATCGTTACAACTTATACAACATACGTAACAAATACAAACAAAACATGAACATTGTAAAGATTAAAAAATTAACAAGCTAACATTATAAAGGTAACATTAAAAATTCATTATCCACCAAAATTATCGAATTTACGAAATATGAATTCCAAATAAAAATCGAACTGTACTAATAAATAGATGGATGTTGCTTGTGTATAAACTTAATTATTTTGGTATACCATAAAATTAAATACAAGGTAATTAATTTAAAAGGTAATTTTCTTGCTTCTAGGCGTTGTAAATCAACATGAAGTGATAATAACCATTTGGGCTAACCTACCATCTGTCAGCGCCATCTGGCGGGAACATCTGAGAGGCGTGGCTCAGCGACGATATGCGGCTTCCCAGACTCATGAAGTCTTCATGTAATTTGTACAATTAATTGACCCTTAGGGACATAACTTTTGAGGTTATATTTTTCTTACTAATATTATAAATAGGTTTTTTTTTAATTCCATGCGGACTGAGTCGTCTTTTTGAAATAACGTTTGAAACAATTTCGTTGTAAATAAGCTCGCAACATACGTTCTAACTGCGTAACTAGTGCGTGTTGAGGCAAAATTTAATTATTTTTGACTCTTTAGTTGAAAGTACACAACTGTAGTGGATATTTTGGATTTAACTAACGAACCGCTAGATCATGTTCCAACCTGATGTTAGATGGTGATATATTTCAAATTAATTTCTTTATAATGCGAAATCTACAATGTTTATTGTACAATATATCTAAATCTCACTAATATTATAAATGCGAAAGTTTAGATGGATGGATGGATGGATGTTTGTTAGCGCTTGTAGCCTAAACGGCTGAACGCATCTCCATGAAATTTGGCACAGGTTTAGAGCATAGTCTGAAAGAACACATAGGCTACTTTTTATCCCGGGAATATTTATGGTTCCCGTGGGATTCATTAATTTATTTTTTTAATGTTTACTCAATCATTCTGCAACGGTTCAACATATGTTATTGAAATTTGGCACAGATATAAAACAAAGTCTAGAGTACACATGGGATAAGCTTCATCCCCGAAAAATATCCGGTTCCCGAGGGATACGTAGCTTTTTGTAATTTATATAGTTCGAATGTTTTCTAATATCACGCGGACGAAGTCGCGGGCAACAGCTCGTACGCAAATAATTTTGTTAATAAACAATATTGTACGTATTTTTACTTTCATTATTTACTTTTATTTCAGAAAACGTAGGCTCCGTTTTTTCGGTACATGAACAAAATTTATGAAACCATTTTTTCCGTCCGTTTCAACTGACTCGTTTAATTTATTTCTTTCGGTACTGATACTGACATAATCTACAATTCAATAGTGAATTACACCCATTCTCTGTCTTTGTCTTGCTTATACGATTTAGAAAGAGACGGATATACAGATTTTAATTTTCAGAAAATCTGACATAACTCCTAGTTGCTTATCGTCGACGTTACATCCTCTACGAAATTGTCTACGACACTATCTACGTGGGGTCTCTTCTACGAACTGTCTAAGTGTTTTTTAAGGCAAGGAACGATTTCAATGAACATAACTTGTTTTTCTTCCTAACTGTGCCGTACAGAC